AACTAAACCACGACTATACAAGATATATATATATATATATTGAAAGGAACCATGACAGGAACCAGAGTCGGCATCATTTATAACTTGATTCCATGTGTTGTCGTTTCCCATAAGCATTGCAGAAATAATTTGATTTTTATCATGATAGGAACCAGAAATCCTAGTGCGTCATATTGAAAGACTAAGAATTGTAAGATTGTCCTCTTTGTTGTTTCCTTTTCGGACCATGGTCGTAGAATTACTTAATAGTGTCCCGATTATTCATCCATTTAATACTAAAGGATTTTCTTTGGTCTAATTATGCTCTATCGTGGTTGGGTATCACTGTGTTAAATTCTTCGTCACTGAACAGAAATCCTCGAATATTCATCGAAGCTTCGTTGAATATGGAGTTCACTTTCACATACTTTTGTAAGGCTTCTGATGATTTCTCCGTAGATATGATTTTCGCGAATTATTTGAAGTGAAAACAAGGGAGAAACAGGTCCAGGTGATCAGAGATGACCGAACACAAAGAATATCGGAAGCCTGAAACAGGTAAGGCTGAAATGATGTAGGATTGATTGAAAATTTTTTAAAATGAAGGTTGGGTTTATGAATCTTTTCCCTGGTTTGGACAAGTAGGCGGAGAATAAATGGGTAAATAATATTACCATGATACGTAGCACATGTCGATAATCCTGTTATTTGTTCTCTTTCCTGATCAGAAATCACATGAAATAATAACTGACCTACGTATACAATTAAGAGGCATGTTGAGCAATAACTACACACAATTTCTAAAGCAAAAAATGGAATAACATAGATTAGTCAATTAAACGATCAGAGAAGAATCCAAAAGAAAAAAGACGATAAAAACACCTGAAAATAAGTTGTAGTGAATATAGGTTTAAAACTGCGTTCAAATCACTGCTGTTTTCATTAGTTTATTAGAATTTTTTTCCATATTCCTAGATTTCTTTTCTGCAAATTAATAGATAAAGCATGAAGTGATTAAATGTAGATAGGGTGCTTGCTCATTGTCGCTGATATCGCGAGTAGAAACAAAGGGACAATAATCCCCCATTTTGAAAGCCAGACATCTTTGTTTTATATGCTCATGTCGTCTTACATTGGCGTTAACAAAGAACCCAATGTCAGTGGGTGCTCCATAAGGATGCTAATTCTTGTAATCATAAAACGGTACAAGGACGCTCCCAGTTGAAGAAGCGGAGGATTTGCCTTGTTTGTGGTGTATTCGTTGATTA